AGAATAGAGGGAAGGCACCTGATGATCACCACCATCCATCGCCAAGCGTTGGGTTATTCTTTAACTAATGAATAATGGGATTGACCATCACATTATAACACTTCAATGGCTGAAAGGCCGAGTATGTTCAGTGACGGGATTCGAACCCGCGACCCGCAGATTGCGAGTCGAGCGCCATAACCACCTGGCCATGCCGGGCTACTAGAGAGCCAACTGCGCTAGCTGTCCCTAATTCAGAAGTGATAGAATAGAGGGAAGGCACCTGATCACCACCATCCATCGCCAAGCGTTGGGTTATTCTTTAACTAATGAATAATGGGATTGACCATCACATTATAACACTTCAATGGCTGAAAGGCCGAGTATGTTCAGTGACGGGATTCGAACCCGTGACCTGCAGATTGCGAATTGAACGCCCTAACAACCAGGCAATGTGGTTATTTTCTAAAGAGCTTCAATAAATCCTCTGTTGATAGAATGCTTTCAACAAATATTATTTAATCATTAAATATTCCATTGCGTATTCTTTACACAGCAAAGGATTGCACTTCTCCCCTAGGTTCACTTACATACTGTTTTAAGAGTGTGACAGGTTAGCTGAAATCAGTTACGAGTTAAGTTTAAGTTTGTTTGTTTTTTTATCTAAACTCGCAAGACCATTCCGAACTTATTTATTGTATCTGTATGATATTACGTCACAATAATGCTGGTAATAGTTTCCATGACAACATTATTTGTGCTGCAGAAAAAAAGTATTCCAACTCTACCTTACGTTAGTTTAGGATTCAAACCCTGAATTTAGGAATATGAAAGACATTCAAATTGATTTTGTCACAAATATAGCTAAAGAAACACAAAGATTGTTTTTCAAGTTTTATGAACTTGATGCACAATAAAGACATTTATATATGAGTTGTGTTTTACCGCCTAGAGTCAAAATGAAAAAAACAAGTTTTACCTGTGTATCTAGAGACATTTTGTTTTAGCATGTCATCCGGCTGTTACAACAAATTACAAAGACAACTGTTTTGGAATAATAACAAGCACAACTCGTTGTACTAAGTTTATTTCCTAAACCTGATTTTAAACTAACCTGAAATCCTTTTCCATATGAAGAGAATAAATACTTTGATTATCAAAGTCCCAATGCGGTTTCCAAGGCAACGTGTCTGTAAACAGCTTTGACGGTAACTGGACATCGCTGTCAAGTTTGGTGTCTCTCTCCTCATTAAGAGGCTCGTAGTGATCCTTTGTCAGAGGGACCGGCCTAGGAAGTTTGAACTCTTGGAAAAACCCATCAAAAGCTAAAACGGGGGATGTAAGGAAGGGCTCGGACACTGGGAAAGGACACGGGGAGGACCACGAGTCCACACGACACGTGGAAACCGAGCTCCTCGTGCTGTCGTCAATGTATCTGATGTCGTCGAGTAATAAAGCAGGTCTGGCAACACTACGTCTGGCAGATGGATCAGATGAGGACTGGAACGTGACGGAGAACTGTCGATCTTGTCGGCAGTCTGAGAGCGTCCTGCGCGTGATGCATGGCTTCAGATGAAATTCCTCCTCAACTTCCACAAAGGAATCGGATTTAGGTCTGTCTTTTCGGTTTACATTTTTTCCTGGAGATGTAGATCCGGTTTTAATAAAAGGTGCCTCTAAGTAGCTCTGCTTTAACGTCCGACTTCTTTCTCGGCATCTTTCTTCCATCTGGCGAATGGCGACGCTAGTTGCCGTTATCCACGATTCCTTACCTTCAGAATCGGAACAGTAATTCATAACCTCCTGGTCTTCTATATGACGAAGTGCGAGATTAGAGGCTGTTACCCATGATTCGGATTCGGAACACGATTCCAAGCCCTCTTGGTCCTCTATCTGGCCGAGCGCTGGATTAGTAGCCGTTATCCATAATTCCTTGTTTTCCGAATCGGAGAAGGATTTTAAACTCTCCTTTTGCTCCATCATACACATGGTTTTAACTATCGGACTCAGTAATAAAGGCATTTTTGGCGGTACCTCTTGAACATACTTGTGGACTTTTTAAAGTAAGTGCTGATAGACCTAGAAAAAAAACGGAAAAGGAGTTTATTTCTTTGTAAAGGTTTCTTCAAACTTAATAATTTCCTCTTAACTGACACTATGAGCAGGATTTGGAACCAAAATATGGGAAGAGTCTTAATCATTGTGAATGTTGTGTGTATACTGTATCCCACGAAAAAAAAAATGTGAAGGGGAAACTGCTCCACCTTGCCCACCCCCATAATCTCGCCTATTAATGTGCAGGGGAAACTGCTCCACCTTGCCCACCCCCATAATCTCGCCTATTAATGTGTAGGGAAAACTGCTCCACCTTGCCCCCTCCCCATAATCCCGCCTA